AGGTGCGGTGGCCAAAAAAATGAGATCGAACCCTAGCAGAAGAAACCCAGATTCTGGTGCGAGTTTCATAGTGATCACGGTTATAAAACAGTAGATTTCAGATTGCTACAAGGTGAAATATAACACTTGTTAAAACAAGGTTATTTAACCGATTTGTTTACATAGATGGGTAAGCAAGCGTATATGAAGAATAGACAAGAGCCACCAAAACCTCGTCATCAAAAAGAACGGTTAATATGATAAACAGAGGAGAGGGGTCAATGGTGTGACATATATGGCTACAAAAAAGACATCAAAAGTCACAGTTACCCACGGAAAGCGAGTTCGCCAAGTTTTGGAAGAAGATAGCATAACGTTTGATGATGCAGATACAGATGGCGTGACGATCCCTCACAATAATGCACTGGTAATATCTTTATTTGTACATGATACTAATGTGAAATGAGTTTTGATTGATCCAGGTAGCTCTATAAATATCATTCTTTTAAGAGTGGTAGACGAGATGCAAGCCGATGATAAATTGGTACCCAAAGCACGTATCTTATCTAGATTTGACAATTCGAGCGTTATTACAAATGGGGAAATAGTGCTCACCACATTCGCATAAGGAGTAATCAAAGATACGAAATTTCAAGTGATAGATACGGACATGGCGTATAATATGATTATCGACGGACCTTGGATTCATGATATGGATGTTGTTCCGTCTACTTTACATCAGGTTATTAAGTTCCCTTCACAATGGGGAATTAGACAAATCCGTGGTGATCAGCAAGCTTCTAGAAGTATCAATTCAGTGGCGGATTCAAGCGTAAAGAACGATGTTTCAGACCAAATATAGCAATTACAGAATTCAGTTGGGGATTTATCAACACAAACCTCAACTGGAGATGGGAAAACGGAAGTAGACTCAAGGCCCAATAACATTCAAGAGCCAGAAGTGAACGAAAACATCAAAACAACAATTGAAGAACTCAAAGTAGTGGTGTTGTTTATACATTGGCCGAATAGAAAAGCTCACATCGGAACCAACCTGAGCGCAGAGATGAAAGGTAAGTTAATTGAATTCTTAAAAGCTAACGCGGACTGCTTTACTTGGTCGCATTCAGATTTGACAGGTATACCACAGAAGGTGATGACCTATCAACTAAATGAAGATCCAACATATCCACCTGCCAAACAGAAGAAAAAGAAGCAAGGATCCTTCAAAAACCAGGTGATTCAGGATGAGGTACAAAAGCTTTTAAAAATCGGGTCCATCCGAGAGGTAAATATCCTAATTGGCTAGCTAACACTGTAGTGGTGCCAAAAAAGGGAAATGGCGGGTTTGTGTAGACTATACTGACTTGAATAAAGCTTGCCCTAAAGATTCTTTTCCTTTTCCGCACATAGATCAACTAATTGATACTACTGCAGGACATAAATTGTTGAGTTTTTTAGATGCTTATTCAGGATATAATCAGGTAAAAACGGATTCTTTAGATGAGGAAAAACTTCATTTATTACAGACAGGGGGACTTACTGTTATAAAGTCATGCTTTTCGACCTAAAGAATGTTGGATCCATGTAATAGAGGTTGGTAACAAAAATGTTACAAGAACACTTGGAAAACACCACATTGATGACATGCTAGTCAAGTCAACGTAGGCGGGGGATCACATCCAACATTTGTCAGATACATTTCAGATTGTCCGCAAATTCAATATGAAGTTAAATCCCGAAAAGTGTGCATTTGGTGTGTCTTCAGGTAAATTTTTAGGTTTCCTTGTTTCTAACTGAGGAATTGAAATAAAACCAGCACATATTAAAGCCATTAAAGAAATACCGGACATACTTACAAGCAAAAAAGAGGTACAGAGGTTGACATGTAGGATAGCAGCATTGCAAAGATTTATTTCTAAATCTTCGAAAAAGAGTTTTAAGTTCTTTTTAGTGTTGAAAAAGCAAAGCCAATTTGAGTGGACTGAGGAATGCCGACAAGCACTCAAAAATAAACGTACTTGTCAAAACCGCCGTTGTTGGCTAAGCCGAAGGATGAAGAAAGGCTACTCATCTATCTCGCTGTGTCAAAAATGGTGGTAAGTGCAGTGTTAGTTCGAGAAAACAAAGGTAAACAATCTCCAAAGTGAAGTGTTGGATGCTAAAATTTGATATCCTCATTTAGAAAAACTTGTTTTAGCACTAATCATGACATCTAGAAATTTGAGGCCTTATTTTCAATGTCACCCTATCTCTGTAGTGACCGCTTACCCCTTAAGAAATATATTGCGTAAGCAAGAACTATCAAGTAGATTAGTCAAGTGGGCTATAGAACTAAGTGAATATGATATCACATATCAAGCTAGAACTGCGATAAAATCACAGGTTTGAGTAGATTTCATGGTAGACTTCAGCCCAGGAATAGTACCAGAAGCAGAAAAGGAACTACAGGTATTCAACGGGTCTAATCCGGGTACATGAACCTTATTTACTTATGGCTCCTCGAATGTTAAAGGGGTTTGGGCATTGTTCAAATCCCACATTCCGGAGAAACTATAAGGCAGGCAATAAAGTGTCATCCCATTACTAACAATGAAGCAGAATATGAAGTTGTAATTGCAGATCTGCAATTGGCACGAGAGCTCGGAATAGTGCATATTATAATCAAGAGCGACTCGCAACTTGTAGTTAATCAAATGCATGGGACTTATATAGCTAGAGAGGCGAGGATTCAACAATATTTGGAAAAGGCACCAGACTTAATCAGACAATTCCAATCTTGGAAAATCGTGCAAATACCTAGGGAAGAAAATGCTGAAGCAAACGCGCTGGCTAATCTCGCATCCGTTGCAGAAGTGACAAATGAAGAAAATGCTTTTGTAATATATTTGTTTCATTCAGCACTCGCTTAGGACAAAAACGAGGTAAATTTCAATAATTTAACTTGGGATTGGAGAAACGAGATTGTTAATTTTTTGTAGTACGGGATTCTACCTGAAGATAAGAAAAAGGCTCAGGCACTTCGACGAAAAGTTGCCCCTTATTGTTTGGATCGTGGCAACCTATATCAAAAGATGTTTGGTGGACCTTTAGCGAGGTGTCTCAAACCTTCTCAAATAAAGTATGTGATGAGAAAAGTACACGAGGGACACTGTGAAAATCACGCAGGAGGAAGATCTTTGGTAAAACTCTAATTAGAACAGGATATTATTGGCCAAAAATGAAAGAAGATGCAGAAAGCTTTGTGGCCAAATGTGACAAATGCCAACGATATGGTAATAACATGCATCGCCCAGCAGAGTTATTACATCTAGTTATTTCACCATGGCCTTTTATGAAGTGGAAGATGGATATCGTAGGTTCACTACCACAAGCCAAAGGAAAGGTACGGGTTTTACTAGTACTAACCTATTATTTTACCAAGTGGGTACAAGTAGGTGCCTTCAAACAGGTGCTGGAAAAAGAAGTCAGGGACTTCATTTGGCGAAACATCATATGTCGGTTTGGAGTTCCAAAAGAAATCGTGTGTGATAATGGCCCGCAATTCATAGGTGCAAAAATCACAGAATTCTTTCAGAGTTAGCAGATTAAAAGGATAACTTCAACACCTTATCATCATGTGGCTAATGGACAAGCCGAATCTACAAACAAGGTTGTTATTAATAACTTGAAGAAAAGGTTAGAGGAGTCAAAAGGTAAGTGGCCAGAAGTATTACCAGGAGTTTTATGGGCTTACCGGACGACAACAAAAACAAGTACGGGAGAGACTCCATTCTCACTTGTGTATAGTGCTGAAGCCTTAATCCTAGTTGAAATAGGTGAACCAAGTACAAGATACACCCAAGTAACTGAAGAATCAAATGAGGAGGAGATGCGAATAAATCTCGATTTGCTTTGAAGAAAGGAGAGAAACAACTCTAATAAGGATGGCAGCGCAGAAGCAAATTATTGGGCGATATTACAATTGAAAAGCTCATCTTAGACACTTCAAGATTGGGGACTTTGTACTCAAAAAAGTTTTTCAATCATCAAAAGCGGCCAATGCAGAAAAATTAAGTCCAAATTGGGAAGGACCTTACAGGATTCGAGGTATTGCTGGAAAGGGTGCATATGAGTTAGAAACCATGGACGACAAAGTACTCCCATCAAATTGGAATGTTGTTCATTTGAAGAAGTATTACTTCTAAAGGAAGAAACCCCCGGTCAGGTATCATTTATGCAAGGTTTAGATTTTTTTTAATTATACTAATCATTTTAGATGATAGGCACAAAGCTAGCCCACACCAAATGATGATTTTAGACCTACAAGACACGCGAGATGCAAAATCATCCCCGGTCTGGGTTACAACCTTTCTAATGGAAATAAAAAGGGTTAAACAGTCATCATCTGAAAATATACCTTCGAGTCCCGTATGTATTTTCCTTTTCAGGAAATAGACCAAATGGAAGGAATAATCAAGTGCTCGAGATTTCATACTTCAAAGCTCTAACACTTAGGGGATTATAGGTAGCAGCCAAAAAAGACTACAAGTCAAAGAAGAAAGAAGACTAAAAGTCAGTTCAAGCCTGGATCAACCCAAAAATCAAAAGTCAAGAGCCAATCAAGAGCCAAGAAACAAGTCCGAATCAAAAACCTTTTGTATTAAGCTTTCATAAAGTGTAAACTCGCGGACATAAATTATAAGATCCTACGAGTACTAAGGTTAAAGGCAATGTTTAGTCATGGGTTGCAAAATATACCTTAGTATTTAGTGAAATATGTTATAAAGAAAACAGTTATGAAAGAGTTGTAGATGTTGTACAAAAAGTTGTTTGAATTATTTGAAAGTTCAAAAATACAAAACTTCCTTAAATTCTTTGAAGTATGTATTTTTCTACTTCTTTCATATGTTTACACCAATATGAAGTTGAGACATCTTCTTCATTAGTGTCGTTTATAAAAGGGCCCTCTATTATAAAAGTTTGTGTCTATTCAAAAATCACGAAATACTAAGGCATTTTTAAATGCAAATTAAAGAGTAGAACAGAAACTCAAACGAAATATTATATATTGAACCTGGCTAAAACTAAGTATAGACTTAGTTAAAACCAATGAATTTTGATAACAAACCCAAGAACAGACCAGGGGTAAAAACTTGCCAACTATTCCAAAAGTAAAAAAAAGTAACAAACTTCCCAACAAAAGTGCACAGAACACTATGGGGCAGGATCTAAAGCAGTACTATCAGCAACAAGAGAAGCAGAATTCAGCAAGGCATCATCAGCAACGGGAGATGATACAACTTGAGTAGAAGAGACTTGAACATCAACTTCACCAGGAGTAAGTTAATCACCTTCGGGAATGCCGACCTCATAGGAGGAAAAGTTCTGACGTTGCTGAGTTTATTCAATAATTTTCTTAGCTTTTGCAATCTCAGCAGTCAAGTCAAAACCTTTCTGGCTAGCCTCCATCAAAGTTTCGAGGCGCATATTCAAAAAAGCCCAGCTTACATCAAGAGGTGATTTATCTTCAAGGGCCTCGTAATCTTTCTCCCATTGCTCAATTTTAGCCTCAAACTCTTCTCTTTTAGTCAAAGAAGCATCATAAGAAGCCTTCAAAGGAGCGAATGTTTTCTCCAAGAACTGGACCTTGTCTGAACATGTACGGAGGTCTTCTTGAGCCTGAGTGAGCGTTTGACCAAGCTCTCCGGCATAAAACTCTTTCTGATTAAGCACTTATTTCAAACTCCTAATTTCTTCGGTAGCTTTAGAAAGCTGCTCTGCAAAGGAAGACTCAAGAATGTCTTTGTCCTTGCCCACTTGACTGGAAGAGGCTTTTTCAATTGCCAATTATGCTGCCATCACTTGCTACTTGTTGTTGCGAAGCAAACTTCTCCCCATCTAAAACTTCTTTTTCCAACTGAAGACTCTCTTACTGTTCCCTCCAGTTGTCTGCTTCCTTACGATAATCGTTGACCAACTGCTCAGTATTGACAATTCTCTTCATAAGCTCTGTGCCTGTCAAGTTGATCTATAAAAGAAAGGAAAGAAGTGATTATCAAACAAAGATTAAAAAAATCACGATGGAAGTAAAGGGAAAAAAAGCTAAGGCTTATACCTTCAAAGATGAATGAACAACATCATTCATCCATCTTAAAGAACTGTGGCTTTCCAACTTAGACTTCTGAACTAGGCCAATTAGAGGGTTTAGCCATATATCGGCTTGACCAGACGTTTTCAAAAGATTACCGTCCTCGGGGACTTCAATGGTAACTATTTTCATCATCCTATTGCTACTAGAAGAACCAATTTCAACACGAGAAGTGTTAGCAATAGGGATAGTTGAGGAAGTGAAAACATCCACGGGAGGAGTAGTAGTAGCAACGACAGGAGAAAAAACTTGAGAACCAATAGGAGCAGGCACTCGAAAGGAGGCGAGAGGTGCTTCTTCATAAACAAGGTCAAAATCTTCATTATCAAACCCACGGAAAAATAATTGATCGGTAGAGTCATGAGGTGCATCATTCATCTCTTCATCAGAGCTCGTTAAAATGACACTTTCAGGCTCATTCACAAGAACTGAATTTGGAGAGGGTTGGCTTCATCATCCGAAATAACGCGCCTCTTAGCCCGAGGCCTGCGCACCAAGGAACCCTCTTCTCATTCCTCTTCACCTTCAGAGCCATGAGCTCTCTCAGCTTTTCTCTTTGATGAAGAATTCAAAATCATTTCTTGAGCAAGAGACAAAGAAAGCCTTGATGAAGTAATAGACGCGGCATTGACACCTCGAATGGGAAATCCTAATAGAGAAAAAAGTTAGAAATTCCCAAGTACATACGAAAGAAAGGAAGAAAATTAAAGGGAATAATACCATGAATTTTCACTTTCCAGCCAAACCTATGAGAAAGGTATTTCCAAGACCTTCTCTCCATAGGAGCAACCGATAACAACTTCTCTACCCAAGCACGGAAGTCCGGTATTTCATCAAAAACTTTCATGGTTGCTAAAAAGAGAAAAAATATCCATGAGATCGTCAGTATCTTCCTCCCTCATAAAAGAAGAAAGATATAAAAGAAAACTTACGTGCAAAATTCTATTTTTTCGGAAAAGGCATGTTCTCCTCACCCACTAAATCACTTGTGGAAGCAGCAATGAAACAGGCATACCAACCACGATCCTTATCATCTTCAAGACTAACCAAAACCCTTTTGCTCCTGACAGAGAGAGTAAAAACCCCTGAATGGAACAACTTAGGGGAATAAAGATGAAGCAAGTGTTGAGAGGTGAAGGGTAAAGAGGCCAAATTAAATAGGTATCACAAACATGCAACGACTCCTCATACAATTAGGGCCAATTTGTCCTAAGCAAACGCTGAAGAAACGACAAAATTCTGTGATAGCTGGGTCAATAGGAGGTCTGAAACCTAAAGTAAAAGGATATGTGTAAACGAAAGAATAGCCAGCTAGGAACGAAGTTATCCTTGGTTTGGTCCAGGAACTAAAATTGGAAAATCAGGTTTCTAGTAGCATTCTCTTCACACAAGAGAAATCAATCCATCAGTAATCTAAGAAGGATAGACATCGGCACGATCATGGGAAGTCATAGAAGTAACTTAGTTTCTAATTGATTCACGATCAATGGAGAAAGAAAATTCTGCAGGAATAATTTCATCAACTGTTGGTAAGGGGCTCACTTGATTCCCTATTTCTGGTAGAAGATCTATGGGTTGAAGAAGCCCTTTTCCTAGACGAAGAAGGGGTAACAATGTTGGGTCGAGAAGTAGAACCCCAAACAGACAAAGACCCTTAGCAACGTAACCTACCGCCTCTTCTACTCCTAACATGAGCAGTTAAAGGGGGAAGTTCATCTTCAATTACTGTTCTGTGAGGGTTGGGGTTTGATGAAGACATGGATGCAAGAAAATAATGCGCACTGAAGAATAAGAACGATTAAAAGAAGAATACTGTAGATTGAAGGTTTTCGTAAAACTAAAGGCACGTGAGGTATTTATAAAAAGAGCCAACCATCATGTAAAGTGAGTCATGACGGAGACGTCATAATGAAACAGTCACTTCATGACTGACGTAGCTACAAAAAAGTCCTAAAAACCGCTAAAGAGTCGCAGACCTAATCGACAAAGGCCACGTGGCACATGCATTAAATGGAAGTGACATACGATGCGTTGGTTCTGAAGAATCCACAATGATACATGGGAAACGACAGCAAAAATTCTCGCCATAAATACATACCACTTCCCAAATATTCAATTACAGAATATTCGGCAAGTGGGGGAACTATCTGTATTAGTAGAAAATAAATATGACACGTAGATCACTAAGAAGGTGACAGCTGGAATATTGCTTTAGAAGATGCATGAGATACAAGAGGTACGAGCAAATCACTCACGAGATGAAAGGATGCAGTTGCTCATATCTAAATCATTTAGTAAATATGGGTTGAATGAATCAAGACAGTAAGAAGGGGAAGATTCACGAACCTCTAATGGATGAGGAAGAAGAATTGGAACCATTACAAAATCTGCATAAACAGTTATGATTGTCAATTATAACGGTGCATTAATGTCATTAATGTTCATAAAGATTCGGCCATAAAAGGGAGGAAACATTATACTTGTAAATTCCTATATAAGGGAAGAGAATTTGCAATCAGTTTCTCTATATTGACTTTGCAGTCAGTTATTTCTTTACTTATTCTTGTTATTTTCCTTTCATATAATTGAAAAATTACAAAATTTCTTGATTTTTAGTAACCTGAGTTCTTCTAAAAATAGGCTTTGATCGAAAGATATATTTTTGGGTTAAACAGTTTCATCCTTAGACAAAGAGTGTTAATCCATTTACACTTTAGAGATTGAGACTGATGGCCTGGACCTTCGCTACTGCTAGTTGTGCTATGTCTTTGGTTCATTACAATCAGGGGAAATTCTTGAAATGCATTAAGCACATGAACTCAACAAGAACACAAGAAAAGCAAACAAATTAATTAATGTAGCAGTAGCTGTAAAGTACAATATTACTCAGGTTTTGTGAGGGTAAATGCGAACAGGAAGCCCTTGAGCAGGTCTTGGAGTTGGAGCTAAGACAAGTTTCTCATCTGGTATCAGCTTCTCCCATCTAAACTTTGTTACTACATTGTGCATAAAAACAAGAGCCACCATTCGGAAATACTCATTTTCAGGGCACATTCGCGGCCCTCCTCCAAATGGAACAAACATATAAGGAGCCGGTCCATTCCCTTGAAACCTCGTAGGGTCAAATTTATCTGGATTCTGAAAGTAGTCTGGGTTTCTATGGGTGTCATCTGCTATCCAGTGTAATTGCATATATCACGAATCGAATTCTCAGCTTTATCAATACCATAAAATCTAGCTAAAAGAGAAAAACATTGATGTAGGAGCTTACCTTCCATCCCTTTGGGATCATGTAACCACCATATGTGATGTCTTCAGTAGCCTCTCTAAATGTCCATGTATTGGAGGTGCCAGCTGTTGGGATAAAATAAATAATCCCGCCCAGGAATAATATCCACAGCAAATAATAATAACACAAGAGAGTAACAATGACACCAAATATTTTAGCGGGATAAAATACAATATTCGAGTGTAGCAATATTACCACTATAATATTACAATTCATTAGTGTCAAGAGACTACTACAACTTTGAAAGAAATAACACTCTTTATATAAAACACCTCACTACAATATTACTACCACTCACTAGTTATCTCACAGACAACAATCTGTGGATTACTCTCTCTAACTTTTATTGTTTCTCTCTTATTTTGGTGTGATTCAAATGAAGAAACGAGACTGTTATTTATAGGAAAAGTTTCTTTGTTTTCAGTCAATTATGGCATGCTTTGAAAGTTTGTTTTCAGTCAATCATGTCATGCTTTGACAACTTGCACTTGTGCAAATTAATTGCATCAGAAATGTAGGCGCCTACCTTTACTTTTCTCTTATCCAATCACGTTTTTTTTTCTTTTTCATTTGTTATTTTTATTTAGGGACCCTACACCAGCCTCATCACTTCACTCGCAACATTCCACGAATATCTCATTTTCCTTAAATCCTCCCAATTTAGCAAATCATTTGCCCTTTTTGAGTTGGCTATTGCCATTTGCTCTGCTCCAAGTATATGCCCGGGTGGAATTAGTTAGCTTTGTGTCTGTGCCATTGAGGATTTGTTAACACGGAAATTTAGGCAAGTGATTTAAAGTAGTAAATGTTCATACCTTTGAGGACCTCAGAGTACAGATCAGGATAGTCAGCCATGTATTTCGTTATAATGGTTATTGCAGCATTAACGGTGCTATAGCCACCGTGAAGTAAGCCAACAATATAGCTAGCGATATCGGATTCGTTCAGAAATTGTTCTTGCTCATTTGTGGCCTGGAGCATCTGAGACAAAATGTCATCTGGTACTGCATTTCTATTCTCTGATAGCTCACTTTTCCTCTGATTGATGATTTCTTGAACCTCCTTACGCATTATCTTGGATGCTCGGACAGCTCGGTTGAAAGTGGGTCCTGGTAAATTGATAGACATAGAGAGCACACCAGAGGCAATATCCTCAATATACTTAGACAGTCGTTCAACCTTCTCTGCATCATCAATGCTTAGGAATAATTTGCAGTCCAATGAGAATATATGCACTTCCTAACTGCAGGTAAAACCTTAATTTGTGGGCGATTCCAGTCCGTCTGAAGATGGCGTCTCAAAATATCATCGGCTACGCCTACAAATCTTTGAAGAGACTCTGATCTGAGAGGCGCTGATAGCAATTTGCGCGTGCTTGCAAAGTCCTCGTGATTAGCTTTCTTATGAGTCTTGGGAAATATTCTGTCAATAGAACTCGGCCACCAGACTTGGACTAGCTTATTCTCATTTGAGAATAGAAACTTGTTGCCCTTGGCACCAGATAAGATCACCATTGGATGCCCAATCAATGAGGTGCTGAAAATATTTGAAGAGTATTTGCTCCTTCTTTGTGTTAGAAACTTGACTAGGCTCCCATTTTTGACATTGGACAAATAATCCAACGTTTCACCCACAAAAGGCCACCCAAAACTTCCTGGAGGAAGATCATTAGCAGCAGCTTGTCTTGAATGTGGCAGCTTTCTTTTGTTAATGAAATAGTAATATAGAAGAAAAGAAAAGAGAAGGCTGTTACCAAGAAGGAAAACCATTAAGAGGAATCCTATTGAATTGACCACATAGGGGTAGCTAGAGGTAAGTCAGAGGATGTATTTTAAGCTTTCAGATGGAGGAAGGAATACATTAAAAAATGCTTAACTAGAGAGGCATTAGGGCAAGGGCTTCTTGAAGTTTATATAATATATGGTTACTTTGATTTAATCAAACTGTTAGCTTGTGAAATATGAAGAGTTGACTTTATGATCCTACAACATACGCCATGTTACTATGGATTCAGGATTCTAAAACAAAATAGTTAGTGGGCCGAATAAATTATTTATACATGGAGTTTTTTACACAAAATACAAGTGTAATGACTATTCTTTATTGGTCCAAACATTAAGAAAATCTTGCGAGTTCCCGATCATTTAGCCTTTTATTTTCCTTAAAGAAATGATGTAAATCAATAAGGAACACAAGCATAAGAGCTCCAAGCTTCAAGCTGCACATGCACAGTTTTCATTACTTAGGCTTTATCCTGAAAACATGCTATTTATAAGCAAACCAATAAACTTTGTAAGAGAAAACTTGACGTTGAGAGGAATATGAGTTGTGACTAAGGATCTTTTTAATCATGACAACAAGAACAACAACCCAGTAAGATCTCATAAGTGGAGTCCGGGGAGGTTAGTGTGTACGCATACCTTGCCTCTGTTTCCGATGGACCCTCGGCTTAAGAAAACGAAAAGAGACAATACATCAATACCATCAACAAAAACCCATAGAAATAATATCAACATCACAAGAACCAGTAAATAAATGGAAAGCAGAAATAATAACTAGTAAATAAGGCCCCACAATATGAAAACGAATGAGTAATGTAAATATAACATTGACCACTAGCAGTCTAATACTAAATCCTATGATATGCTCAACCACCTCTTAACCTAGAAACTTAATGCACGACCTTCACAACTTCTTTTTAACATGACTAAATTAGCAAATTTTATCATCAACACACACTTCATCCACAAAATCATCTTTAGGATCACAAAGATGAGAACATGAAAGCTATAACACAGCACACTAATGATACTAGCAGTAGTTTCTAAAAGGTTAACATGGTAATGCCAGTCTTTAAATTCTAATGCTTGTCCTGGGATACAATATTTCCAACCCCATTAACATGACTATGAAATCCACTTTGTTCAATAAGTTTAGCCAACTTCAATTGCTTACTACCCCAAGCTTCAATTAACTTTGCTTCTTTAGCCTCTGCATCTCTCTGTAATGCACTGAGTTGATCTTTATATTCCCTCTCCATTCTTTCAATAAAAGCCATTTCCTCTTCACGTAAACACCTCCTCTTTGCTTCTATTTCCTCCGTTTTCTCTCTCCTTTTTCTAGCTTTCTCTGACTCTAGCTGTTGCTCCAGCCGGTTCAGTCTCCAAGTTGCCTCCTTTTTATGCTGTACCCAGTTCTGTCTTCCTTCTTCCAGCTCTTTGCAGTACTGGATTAGGGTGCCCAGTTGCGGAACCGGATAAAACCGGCTTGTCAAACCATATTCCGGTTGCACCTGTTCATGCACACGCAACACCGGTTCAGACGGTGTAAGGGTGAGACTAACAGAAGGAGATGGAGCAGAAGATGATGCATTAGCTGCTGAGTTCATCCACGGTGGAATAGTGGTGGAATTCACCGGTTCATTCATAGCAGCAGGGTTTAAAGACAGAACCGGTGGCGGTTCAAGATTTGGCATGATATTAATAGCTGGCAAAGGCAAAGGAGGCTGAAAAGCAAATATCTTTGGCTGCACGTACTTCTCTGCAAAAGTCTCCAAAATATGATCGTACTTCCCGGAAACTGCTCCCTCCGGCGACCCACCACCGGAGACGGCGGAAATAGACGGTGGATCAGCGTAATCTTGAAGTTTCTGTGATTTCTGAAGCTGCTTAAGCTGTTTCTCTTTGAAAACTTCCCACCACTTGCCTAATCTTTTAGCAGTACGACCAGGGACTTCAGCTGCAATTTTCTTCCACTTATTACCGTACTTTGCCTGAAGAGAAATGACAAGATTTTGTTCTTCTGGGGTTAAAGATCCTTTCTTTATCCCAGGTTTCAAGTAGTTTTTCCAACGTTCAAGGCATGATTTTGGGTCCCTGTCAAGAGTTCTACCCATGCGTTTAGAAATGAGGTTCCATTCTTTAGGTCCATATTGCTTCACGTAAGCTCCTAACAGTGCGTCTTCTTCTGGCCGCCACCTTTGACGCTCCTTCATTTCCAAGCCATACCCACTATATTTTCTTTAACTTCTCATTCTGGTTGTATTTACAAAGGAAAAAGATAAAGAAATGCCTTATCTTGAAGAAAGAGTTTGGCGTTTGGCTAGTAAGTAATTGCTGCCTTTGGTTTCTCACTGCAGTTTTACAGTGCTACATTACGGTACTAGTCACTATAGTGTTATATTTAGGGTATGAAAATGAGAGTGAGATTAAAGTAAAACTGTATTTGGGTAGGCAGTAGAAGCCTAATTGGGGAGACTGGGAATCAGTAGGACAGAAACGACAGCGGGGTAAAACAGTGAGAGTAAAGGTGAAAGAGGAACTGGCATGGCAGACAAAGTCAGAATTGTGGTGGACAAGACAGGTCAGGAATCCCTGGTTTTTGTACAGTGTGTAAACGGAAATAAGGATACTCCATTGTCTTTTAAGTTTGTGCAAATTTCGCTTAGTTCTCAGTATCTTCTCCGCCGGGCATAATCAGGGACGTGCATTTGAATCGGTTTATCGATTAATCGAATCGATTATTTGGTATCGGTTTCTCGATTTATCGATTTCGATTTCGATTTTGTCCTCTTCGGTTATCGATAAATCGATAAGATATACTAAAAAGATAAAAAATAACTAATTTTTTTTTACCCTTATTCTATAATACTCTTCCCTTTACCCCTAACCCTATTATTTCCTCTACCACATTTAAGGAATGATCATATTTAAAGCTCAAGGTAATGAAATTCAAATTAATAGAAAACATAATTTGCTGTGATGATGTATTTTTTTTATACCGTTGTAATCTTGGTGGCATACATTTGATCTCTTACTTTAATTTCGTTGCATGTGCTTGTTGACACAATTTTTATGTTATAAACGGTGTTCGTCTTATTTTAGCTTCTTTTTGTCCATATTAGTTAGGCGTGTTTATAGCGATATATTTTCCATGGAATCCCGCAAATTTTCTTATTGGTGTAATCGATAAATCAAAATCGAAAAATCGGAACCTTATTGAAACGACAACGATAAGCATATGTACAAATCGATAATCGATAAGTAATTATCGATAAGGGTCAAAATCGAAGCGATAAATCGAATGCACACCTCTAGGCATAATAATAACTTTCTAGCTCATCTTAACATACACAAATGTAAAACTATTTTACATTAACTTCTATAAAAGGATACATCGAATAATAAATGGAACAGTCATGTAATGGTATGATTAAACCAAAATTAAGTTCCTATATAATTTGTAACTACGCACTGAAATATTAAAACAAAGATCTAGATAAATTGTCTCTTCAGATTGCCAACAAGCTGTCGTTGTAGTATAGTGTTAAGTATTCCCGCCTGTCACCCGGGTGACCCGGGTTCGATCCCCAGCAATGGCGCATCTCATTTTTTGAGTGTATTTCCTTTTCCAGCGGGTTGCCTATTCTCATGTCCTTCCTACTACGTTCCCTTTTCTTCTTCTAATTTTTTTTTTTCCCAAACATAAAATATTTACCAAACCTGATATAGTTGTTAACAACCATAACCATAAGCAGCCACAACGAGCTTCCTGAGTACTAGTTGCATTGCTGTGTGCATGATTGTTGAAAGATCTAGGTCTGCTGTTTTTAAAATTTAGGGGATAGCCATGAATCTTGTAACACTTCTCAATGGTATGTTCTGGCTTCTTACAATATCTGCAAATGAGATTGGTAGGATTATTCCTCTTATAATCCTGATGTTGAGTCTGATTGTTCTTGAGTCCATTGGTTGTGTTTCCTTGATTATTGTTAAACTTGTATTGTCCTTGACTGGTATTCTGCCCAGTAACCGTAAAGGAGCTTGAATCACTAGGATAATTTCCCAAAGGTTGTATACTTCTCTGCCTTTCCTCTTGTAATAGAAGAAAGTAAGCTCTATCAATATCTGGTGAAGGATTCATCATCATTATGCTTCCTCTACATGCAGTGTATGATTCATTCAGACCCATTAGGAATTGAACTAACTTCTGTCTCTCTTCAAGTGCATTGTTTTTCTCCGATGCACTACATTTACACTCTGCACAGCTGCATACAACCCTAGCATCAAGTAGCTCAATTTCATCCCAAATTGCTTTCATATTATTGAAATAGGTTGCAATGTTGTTTGATCCTTGCACAGTTTCTACTAATTGTTTTTGCAATTCAAATAGCTGTGCTAGATTCGATTGTCCATATCTCTTCTCAAGTTGTTTCCATAAATCGTGTGCAGATCTAGAGTGGATCACACTGGATCTGATTTCTCTTGTAAGTGAATTCAACAGCCAAGCAGAAACCATGTCATTACAACGAGTCCAAAGGCTAAAAAAGCAGAATTCTCCTTTGGTTTTGGCAAAGTTCCATCAATGAAGCAAAGCTTATTCTTAGCAGATATTGACACTAATACTGATTTTCTCCATGAGCCATATCCAGTTCCATCAGAAGCACTGAAAACCAATGCCCTACCTGGTGAATCTGAAGCATGAAAATAATATGGCTGAAGATGATCGATCTTTTCCATTGTGGCAGAAGCGGAAAGTCCAGAATCTGAAGTATCTTCCTCCAGAACCATGATCGAAGTGCTGAGTTTTGGAAATCTGATAAAGAACCTTGAGTTGTATGGAAAATTCTAGAAGAATCTAGACAAAGAGAGCACGTGCTCTGATACCATGTGAAAATTAGAGAGAGAAATATTGCAAAATGAGAAATTGTATTCCTTTCCAAAATTGAAAGTGTATCTGTACAAGTTCCTATTTATATACATGTGTACTACTCTATCAATTAATATCTGGCATAACTAATCTACAGCTAGCTAGCTAACTCATATGTGTGGAGCATGGAAAATTACATAAATATCCCTAGCTATTCTACAGCTAAGATATAACACACTTGTGTGTTTAGACATCTACTGATGAGTACACATGGCATAGGAGAGCAGTCATCTCCTAAGCTTATCAACCCAAACATTAACCCATATCTCTGATAACATCAGCCTCACCAC